GCCTATGAGCCTGGCGAGGCGCTGAAGCTGCTGTCCTGCTCCCATGCCTACCATGGCAAATGCATTGACCTGTGGCACTGTGCTCAGCCCGGGAGCAAGACCTGCCCGCTCTGCCTGCACAGCGTGAGTGCGGTAGCATTGATCCTCCTTGGTGCACACAACAGCGAGCAGGAGTAACCCAGGAAGGCTCACCCAAACTCCCTCCTGGAAAATCAAGACCCTCTTCCCCCCCCCATACACGTTCCCACCAGCTCTGTCTTCCACTTTCCCTACAAATTCAGGCTCCAGCCTCTCGGGAAGCATGAGCAGGATTAAAAAACCCAACATACATATGGAAATGTAGGAGTAAGGAATACAGACTGGAAGGACAAATGGAATACTGAAGACGTGTCCTTGGCTCTGCCCAGTTTGGGCAGCTAATCACATACAAGTCTGCTTCACACTAGAAGATCTGAGGGCCACAACCACAGAACAGAAGCAGCAGCTAGCTCTTGCCAAGCCCCTGGATGTCTTGTCCTGAGGTTTCTCCTCTTACTCTGTTTAAGATCTCCCTCCCAAAAGCCTGCACAGACAGGTTTATTCCAATGGGACCAATTATAGTTACCCGTTAATTTTTACCACGTAACCTAGGTTGATGAAACAAGCACAGTTCTCTACAGTCTTTTTTTTTGCATGCAGAGAGTTTAAAAGAACAAAAAACCTGCTAAATGGAGATGTTTTTGCTTTATGTTCAAGGTTTGCAGGGCATTTTGCCAAAAGTAGAAAAGGCAAGGTATAATTTCCAGCACCAATATCTAATAAAGATGATGTCGCCCTCCGTTGCAAGGCAAACAGCTGGAACTGAATTCCATTTCCAGACATGGGTACTAAGTTGCAATGGCCCAGATTTGCTCAACTGCCTTTTTTAATTGTGGGCATTAGCAGATTATGGGTACTTTTGTAGCAGGTCCATAAAGCAGTGCTTTATAATCTTCTGTATGCATTAGGGCCCAGATTATCATGCTTGTACTTGGTAATAACAGAGCAGAGATTGCCTGGACCCCTGGGAAATCCAGGAGAGACACCTGGTAGAGCAGAGGAGCACACAGTGCTGAGACACGTGTAGGGGACAGTGCCCACAGCAGGGCTTGCAGAGCTCCCACAGAGCTGCTCTCCCAGTGGCAAACAGCGAGGCACAAAACCTCTCCACACACACAACTCAGTTTCTCATCTACCTAGCTCGCATTTTAGGTGATGACTGTTTCAGCTATCTATTCTGTAGAGACATGGGTCATCCTTTCCTTTCATCCTAGATGAAAGGAGATGGTTACATGCACCAGTTTCTAAATCAGCTCCTAGCAAAGAAATCATTTACAACAGGGTGCAGGTCTGCCTTCCAGCAAGCTTGCTGCAGAGCTGGGGACTTGCTCAGTCAGCAGGAGGGAGGAAGCATGCCCCACATACCCTTAAGAGCAACTGGGAACACTGGAAGTTTAAAGGTTTTCACTGGAAGGTCACTAGATGGCCCTAGATCTTCCTTCACAGCAAATCACTAGTATTTCAGCTCTGGGAGCCTGGTCTTTACTAATCCTATAGTATCACCCCAAAGGAACAGCGTGCCCTGGTAAGAAGGGCACCAAGCTAGAATCAGAGATACCTGCCAAAATGTCCTCAGCAAAGCATTTAACCCCATGTTGGCTTTTTCTGCTCCTGGCATTTGGCAGTTGAGAGCAGGGAGAGGCTGTTGTGTGTCTGTGCAATGCCACTGCCTGTGGACCCCAGACGCCAACCAGATACAGATAAAGGGCAAGTAGTCTGATTACATACAAACTCACATCATCTCACTGCCAGGCTGCTTTTTTCATGCTGCAAAAACCTCAGAGGGGAAAAAGCCATCTAGCCTTATTCCCCAAGTTAAATCAGTGCTGGATCTGGAGCATGTAATGTATGTTTTGTTGGAGTTTTGATGATGCCCACGTAAGTCAGTCTTCTCTACAACTCTGTTACAGTTTAAACTGTTTGGGCAGGACCAGAGTTAGATTCTGCTAGCAGTTACATGGGTCTAAATCAGCATTAAATTCCTCCAGATTGAGCAGACACTTATGTGGAGTAAAAGCAAAAGGAAGAGCTGGTTTTATATCCCAGCTCCTGCACTAAGTGATAGCCCCAAAGAAGTAGTATAAAGGAACACAGGGACTTTGGGAGTGGTGGGGTAAATGATCAGTTAATAGAGGTAAATGGTCTTTTCCTTTCTTCTAGCTTGGATCTTTGTTCAAGTGGTAAAATGGGACCAGTTCCCTGTAATTGCTCTGCTCTTGCACACAACTGCTGTCTCCCACGTGTGGCTTGTTGACATTTAAATAAATTGCAATTATTCCAACAGAGTAGATTGCAGGGACTCCAGAGAAAATGGGTCAAGAATACGTCCAGGAGCATCTGCAATGTATTTAACAGATAAATATAACAGGGGTAGGGCAGGATGAGGAGAATATGGTGCTGACTCTAATGAATACAGGATGGGGCTGGAGACAGCCTGGCAGAGCCCCACACCATGGTGGGATGCTTGGCTTAACCTCAGCCAGCCAGAGCCAAAGCCTCTAGTGCACAGAGGATGGAGAAGGCAGACAGCAGTGATGCAAATGGAAAGCACAGAGGTAACCAGAGCAGACAGGGCACCACTCTGGCTCTTTGAGAGAAGATCACCTTGGCCAAAGTCCTCCTTCCTTCTGCAAAAGCACTCAGGGATTTCAAAGGAGGCTAAGGGCCAGGGTTTCCTGTCTCACACTGTTTGTGGGTGGGATGTGGGTATCCTGCTCCCCATTCAGACTTCAGATTTTCTTCTTTCCTCACTCCCCAGAGCTTCTCCCTACCCCATTCCCCTCTTTCTTGCCTTCCAACCTCTCTTGAAGAGGATTTGTCTTTGTCCACATCTATCTGGGTTACTGTTATGCATTACTGAGATCCAGGTTGGAGACTGCAAACACCTGATTTTGCCTTTTATCCAAGGGTTTTGGTGAGCAAGATCACTCCTGCCTTGCTGACTCTAGGATAAGAGGTGATGCTGGAGCAGCCAGGAGATAACAGCACACAGAATACAAAGGGGATTGTTCCTTGGTCCCATGTCTGTCCCAGCCCACACAGACACATGGCTCCTTGCCCAGCCCTAAAGACAGACCTACCCCTTATGCAAGCAGCAGGTCACTGCCAGTACATAAAAATTTGATCTAGAGGCAGAAATAGAGCATTGAGTTCAAGTCAAGAGGCAAAGGTTTTAAAGAACACTAGGATGATGGATGCCGTTACAAGAAACATAAGACCAAAACAGAAATGCACCCTCAGAAAGGTCTCTCAGTATACTTCCATTTTCTTCTTCATCTCTTCTTCTACTAGAAAGTATTTGGCTTCTCCACCCTCCCCAAACCTTTTACTTGTTTTGTTTTTAAATGCATCAAAATGTCTCCCTGCAAGTGTAAAATTCTTTAGATGAGGGGAAAGTAAAATCAATTTGAAATCACAGCTGCTGGGAGTCTCTGGCGCACACACACACTGTCTACTGACATTTTCTGTAGCTCTTTTCCCAGTGAAATCTGTCTCAAGCAGAGCCCAAGGGGGCTAGTAACAAATCAGTTGCCTAGCACACGAGTGATTTTTTAACTACAGGTCCAACACAACTGAGCTGGAAACCATGGGACTACTCTCAAGTGGATCATTAAACAAAAAGGGCTGTTTGTTAAAAGGTACAGGTTTTTAGGGATTTGTGGTTCCAAACTGACCTGGGTTCATTGCATATTCAGACCTAGTTTGTTCTGACAACCAGGAGAGCGATTGCATTCTATGAGGCTGGCATTCCTCTGGGCACTGAGCAGCCACCATAAGAGTTGGGAATTGCCTGAAAGATGGGAGCTTCTTCTGTCAAACACTCTGGGAGGGAAAACACTTATGCCTTACGCTTTCCACTCCTTTTTCAGCTCGTTCACCATAACCAGAATTTTAAAATCAGTTTCTATAGCTAGAAGCTGAAGTCTTTTCAGGCATTTGGTTTCCAGCAGCAGAGGTTTTAAAATAAATAAGGTGAAACCCCCCAATATAAAAGTTGGTGGTAGTCTTCCCAGGCTCATCTAGCACCCATGCACACAGTGGTAGGACAGGAGTCCAACAAGCTCAGCCCCAGCAAGACCCAGTGTATCACCCATTTCAGCAAATCTAGCTGCTCACTTGGGGGCCTTGAAGGTGGATCTGCTCTCTCGGAAGTTTAGGTAATGGCAGAGCAAGGCCACAGAAGCAAAGAGAGACTTTCAACTTCTGCTAGCTGCTATTTTGACTGACAGTTACTGATTGACTTATTTCAAATGACAGAAACCCCTTCTACCCTAAGCAATTTATTTGGCTTGGTATTGGTTCAAAGATCACAATTAAGGAAAAAGTGCATGCTCACCAGACCAAACCAAGCTGTCACACACACCCACAGCAGTGGACAGAGACTAACGGCTCGTTCCTACTCTGCCATGTTTTCCAGGAATTGCTTTGGCCGCCAGCATGAAACATTCCAGTCTGCAACTGGCATGTAGCTGATGGGGAAGCTAATTTATCCTGTCTGCATATCATTAGCAAAACGAGGAACTGGCATCCTATTGGTACCCAGAGGGAGATGAAAGCAGAAGCTATGTGCACAGAACAGACCAAAAAGGAAGGGGGATACAAGTTTAAGCAGGTTGGCAGTAATGTTACATGACCCAGCCTTGGGAAACAATCAATGCGTGATGTCATAGATTTGCAGAGATGAGGTAAGGGTGTTGCTTAGCAGCTGGAGACAGCAAGAGACACAAGAGTTCTATCCTGGGAACTGCCAAACCTACAGAAAACCTGCAGAAACAGGTTTTTATCTCCATCCTTCTGTGGCTCCAAGTCATGGTATGGTGATAAAACCCAGGTGGGGGTAACTCTTCTGTGACTGTCTCTTACACTTTTACTTTGGGACCAGCCTAAAAATTTGTGTTCCGAGCTACCCAGCTGCAATCAGCATGAATCTTCGGATCCAACTTCTTCACTTTGTACTTGCTGCAGCCTTCTACAACACTGCCCTTGCAGAAGTCTTTGGTTATGTGGCTTACAATGACAGCTCCGAGTGTGTTGCTTATAAAGCCTTGCCTGCATGCTTTGGTCCACAACTCCCAGCAGAAGGGCTGACAGGGTATTTGATGAGGGTGATACCACTAAATGCTTGCCATACAATAGAGAATCCTCCACCACCAAAAAATGCCTCCGAGATGTATTTTGCACTCATACAGGGGTACGACTGCTCTTTTGTCGAGAAGGTCCTTCATGCCCAGCAGGCTGGATACCAAATGGCTGTTGTGTACAATGTGGATTCAGAGCAGCTGATTACCATGATGACTGATGACAAAGAAATCCAGAAGCTAATTAAGATACCATCGCTCTTTGCTGGACAATCTGTCTCCCTCCACTTGCAAGGGCCTTTGCAATATGAGAGAGGGGCATACATCAGACTTGTACCACCCAAACACTATTTCTGTTTGAATCCTTGTCAAGACAGTGCTAAAATGCTGCAGAAAACTTCCGTCATGCAGGACTTCAGGAATATATTCTATGTCATTATTGCCACTATCACAATTACGGTTGGCTTAAGCTGGTACAAGAGCACTTGCAAGGCAAAGCTGTACACATACAAGCAGGGAGACAGTTATGAGACCTGTGTGATCTGCATGGCAGAATACAAGGAAGGGGACTGCCTGAAGATCCTGTCCTGTTCCCATGCTTACCACAGCGCCTGCATTGACACCTGGTTCCACACCCAGGCCAGGAAGAAGACATGTCCCTTCTGCAAGCAGCTGGTGAACACCAATGGGCAAAGTGACCTCCTGCCAGAGGAGGCTGCTGAAGATGTGAATGAGGAGGAACAGGATCATGAAGACAACGCATTGGGAGAAGGGCATGAAGAGGAATATGTTGGAGAGAAGAAATCCGATGCAAGCCCAGAAGAAGGGGAAGGGCTTGATGCACTGGAGAACAGCATAATTTGAGCTGTGACCAGGATAGGTTATCATTAAACCAAGGGAAATCTCCCCTGTGTTTTCTTTCAGCTCTTGCTCCAGGCTAGATTTTATTGGGAAGCAATTAACACTTCAGCTTTGGCTCCCCTCCCCTGGTCCCCACAATGAAAAAAAAAAAGCATGAAATCTTGTCAGGAAACATCAAAAACTCCTTGAGCCAGAGCAACAGGGGAGAAGCAAAAAAGAGGAGGGAAGCAGGGATTTAAGAACATTTGGTATGGGAGCTGGTTTACACCTGCTTGGATGCTTCCTCAATTCTTGCCCAAATTACATGTGCATGGACACAGGCACACACACAAACACACTGAAACTTGTTTTGAGGTGTTACTTAAGGGGAGTGCCCAGAAATCCCAGGTAAGAACCGTCCCTTGTGTATTGTAGCCAGCAGGAACCATTCCCTAACCTGACAAGTAGAGAGAGGGGACAAAACCCATATGGGGTACTATATCCTAAAGATGAAACAACTCCTCCCTCTCATCATCAGTGAAAACAGAGCCCGCAAGCCCCCAGTACCCCCTTACGACCCAGTGTACTGACACACTGTTCCTGAGCATCAGAGTAGCTCAGTACAGTCCACTGCAGAGGACAGCGTGGCCTTTAACTACACCAGCAGAAAAATTGTGCTGGAAATATTGAGGGCACTTTAAACACTATCTCCTCAGACAGGAGGTGATGCCAGCAGGAGGTAGAGGTCTTTACAGCAGGATTTGCTTTGTGGATCTGGGTAGATGGAAAAAAAGAATGAAACACTTCTGAGCGTGGTGTAATTGGCTGCTTTTGCCTGCTGGCTGGCAATCTCACATGCTCATCGAGGCTGACGTGACAGGTACATGTAACCTCCTGCTACATAGGTTGTTCCAGGTCATTATCCAAATGTGCCTAAGCACCTTAAGGGGAGCTGGATTTATGTACTAACATGATGCAAACAGATCTTCATCTCTCCTCTAGATACACCAGGTATAGACGTATGATGTCTGAATACATTTCCAATCCTGTTTAAAGCGAGAGCACGAGCAGAAATCAGCACTAGCTCCCCAGGCTGGTACGGGTGGCTCCAACACCCACTGTGGAGGGGGCAGCCAGCCAAGTCCCAAACTACATATGGGGATACAGAGCTGGAACACTAACAAAACCACTATTAGCATTTAATCTCATATAAAAGAAAGGCATAAAACCTCTTTAGTAAATGCCAGAAATTAGGGAAGTGAACAGCTCTAACATACTGTGACCAAGACATCAAACCTGCACAGCTGTACAAAGGCTAAACTCCCAAATCAAAGCCTCTCCTCTAAACATAACACATCCTATTTCTTATGGGCAGTATCAAAGAAGTGGTCTGTCATCTGATCACTCTATTAGGACCGTGCAACAGGATGACACAACCATGGCCAGCAAATAAGACTAGTGACTTGGTGTATTTTCTTTTCAAGTGGCTGCATTAAGACTCAAAAGGCCAGGAGTTTAGAAAAGTGTTGACTGAAAACATCGTGCTGCAGAACAGAAATACCTGGTCTCTGCAACATGGAAACCTTGGTGACTATTGAAGATAACACCACCTAGATTACCCAGGTAGTTTTAAAATATCCATATCTTAGAAAGGGCTAGGAAAAGATATGTGAATACATGTGATGGTTATCAACAAGGTGGACCTGAACCTATCACTCCTGCCCCAGGGAAACCCAGACAGCTTCGGGTGGGAGGAAGAAAAGAAACTGTAGTTTCAGAATTTTTTTTTGGCAGTAGAGAAATTTCAAACCAATTTCTCCTGGAATGAAATATGACAGCATTTCCAAGGACTTGATGGAAACAAGTCTTTCTGCAAGTCCTCAGACTGAGCTGTTTAGTTTCATTTATGGAACAAATAGGGAAAAATGATTTTTAAAGTCAGTTTGCAAGAAAACTGCCCTCCTCTTCAGGGTGTGCAGCCACCTGGGAGCCATAAATAACTTCCATTGCAGAACAAGGCCCCTTGGGGTGCTTTGAGAAGGCAGAGGCAGTTTCCTCCATCTGAGGAAGGAGTCAAGTTCTTTGGATTGTGATTAGCAACAGAAAGTTCATGTAGGTGTCGTTAATTGCCTTCTGCATGTAACTCTCCTGTCAGCAACTTGAAAGGAGACAGTACTGGCCTAGATGAGCTGTACAGACTTCGTCTTCATCTAGTGCTGAGCATCTGGACCTGACCTGAAAGCTCCCCATGGTCCATAGCCCCCACTGAGATAGGTGACCCCAGGTCCTCAAAGGGAAGGAAAGATGGTAACAATCCCAGTGCCTCGGCACACTCTCACTGCCCCCATTCTCCCTCAACCAAGGTCTGAAAAAGCACAAACGCTGCAAACACAGAGGGAACAGGTTGAAGAGCCAGTATTTTCTGCATACTGGCAGCACGATGGGCTGAAACAGGCTGCTGTCTCCCACAGCAAGCGTCTCGCATCCTACAGATGAAGGAGAAGTGATTGAAGAAGACCTCCGAGCCAGACCTTGAGGTGGTTCTGGATAATCACACAAAAAGCCACAGTGTCATCCAGCTGCAGAGTGCTAGGCTTGAGAGGAGAGTCCTGGGGGGAATTCCCTGGGCTATATTATGCATGAGGTGAGATAAGCTGATCACAGTGCCCTTAATATCTATGAATTTCTTTCCATCTTCAAAAGCAGCAGATGCTCTAGATGGGCTGAATTTTTACTGAAATGGGTCAGTAGAAAAATAGATCCTTCTTACAACACAACACTGCACTGCCTTAATTTAAAGAGGAGAGGAAAAAGGGAGCAGAATCTGGGTAAGAGAGAAGCTCTTCACTCCATTTAATGTTATCAAAGACTATTGCACTGAAAATCTGAAATGCGTGCCACAGTGAACCTGACCTCCAGCCCTACAGCTGTCAGATCCACTGCCCTCCATCAGCAATAATGGCACTCCTAACATTGCGAGGTTAGCTTATTGCCAGAGTGGGACATGCAGCCCTCATAGCCTGAATTAGGATTATTAACTTCTCTGGAGGTAGAACTATCCCAGCGTTTAAAATAAACTACAATAGACAATACACAAGATGGAAAAGGAGAACAAGAGGTCTGGGTCCTGCTGGGGCAGAGCTGTTGACTGGGGACAGTGATGGAACTGTATGTCCCACAGCAGCTAGAGGATGCTGCTGTCCCAGTTCAACAGCACTGCAGTTTAGTTGTGAACCAGGAAAGAAGAGAAGCACAGGGAGATGAGGTCTGGAAAAGGCCATGCTGGGAGGTGGTACAGGAAAGTCTTACAGGAGGATTCATGGCTTCTGCAGAGATGCTGTAATGGCAGTGAATTTGTCACCAAGCCACACAGAGGAGGCAAGAGATGAGATGACAGCAGCTACTGGGAAAGGAGCCCTGATTTCTCTATGTCCCAGAGCTCGGGCAGAAGGGAAAAGGTATCTGCAGAGTTTCAAACTCATGCCAGAAAAAGGATAACTAGAAATATTTTAGACAAATGTTGTGTAGAAAAAGATTAACTGGGGGTGAAGGGGAAGACGAACACAGTCTCATGGGCGCAGCCGGGAACAGCCTGGAGGAGCAGCCAAAGCCCTGATGAACCCATCAGAAAGCCCTAGTGAGTGAAGAGCCAGGGGTGACCCAACATGGGCATTTTTGATCAGAGCATGCTGCTTCCAGCCAGCACTGAGGGCAACCCACATGGGGCAAACCTCCACTGATATCTCTGCCTTGGGGGAGCACCCAAACATTGTGCTTAAGTGAGCTGCCAGGACCCCTCCTCCTTTTAGCATGCTCCTACCCATAAACCGAGCTCCACTGCACGTACTTGATTAAGCAATAATCCAGCACAGCCTCCAAAAACAACTTACAGATCTCATTTATCAGGTGGTTCTTTGCAGTTTCTTGCACATTTTATTGCAGGCTTTTTCTGCACAAATAAGGTTGAGTATATTGCTGGGAGAGTCACCAGACTGTGACCTAGAGGGAAGCAGCTGATGATCCAGCACCAGGAACTATTGACTTCACCACTAGAACGTCAATGTTATAGATCACCAGGAGCAATTAGGGTGGCTGATTACCCCATATGCAGCCTACAGGCAACTGTCCAGTGGAGACATTTTCCCCAGAGAGTCAGCACTAAGCCTTGATGACAACAGCATTTGAAGAATTACTTTGAGGGTTTAAGTGAGATTTGAGTGATCTATAGATGCTACGTGGGCCAAAGGTAGGAATTTCAACCTTGAAGACTCAAGTTTAATACCTACTGTAATTAAAAGGAGAGCGCCAACTTCCCTGCAGCACAACCCGATTGACATCGATAGCATTACAGCAGCAGAGAGCCTTACCTGTGATCTCCAAAATCCATCTGAGATGGAGATGTAGGACAGAATATGCCTGCTTACAGGTCCAGGAGCCTCTGCTACCCAAACACTGCAACATCCATGGAAACCTTCTTCCTTCCTTGAGCCATACTACCCACCTCCCACACCATGGTATTGTAGGAGTTGGTTTGTTTGTTTGTTTTTTTCTTGCAAGGTAGGCATTACTCAGTGTCTCCATTTCACCAAAAGGACCTTCCTTACAGATGTCCATGCCCACCTGCACTTCAAGCCTGGTGTAAGGCTGCCCGTCCCGCTCACAGCAGGGATGGGGGCTGGCTCAGGCAGCTGTGCTCCATCTCCCTCTCAGGGCTCATGCAGGGGCACTGGGCTTTAGGGAGATTTAGGCACAAGCAGCTTCACTACCCAACTCCCTGTTCTTCCCCAAACATCTTGTCCACATGGGAACATACAGCTGGCCCCTTGTAGCTCTTAGGATCTAACTGTTCCTTCCTTCATCCAGTCTATTTCTCAGCCTCCTTTTTTCCAGGCCAAGTTTTCCCATCCCAGGTCCTGATACCCAGTTTCCCCTCCCACTAACCCATCTCCTTGTCCCCTTCTGCCTATTGTCCACACCCCATGATGCTCCCCTTTCTCTCCAGCTCATGGAAAGCTTTGTGTGTG